GGGTCAGGTGTGAAAGCACCCTTAGACCTACATTTTATAGCTATTGAAAAGTTGACAGACTCGTAGAGGAGGGAATTTAGAATGTAGACTTTTGCTAAATTAATGTAGGTGGATTTTTGATCTTAAAAGTCTACACACTCTTGGTATGAATGAAGATTTGTCTTTGAATTATTTTTTTTAAATAATTTAACGATATATATATGGGAGACTTGAAGAGTACTTGGGTATGATGTTTATTGATTGTATACACAGAAACTGATGTTAAGAACTATTGTTGGAGTCATGAGATCATTATTGGTGTATATGTATATTTTGTTGATATAGTTGTATATGGATCATTTGGGATGACTTATAAATGTATTTGTTGTATTTTGTTATAGATTTGAGATATATATGTGTATTTGTTTAAAAGATATTTGTGATACTAGGGGTATTACGGTAATACATGTTTTAATGAGCGCAGGTGCTGCTTGGTAGCACATGGCACTGAGGAAGGGTTAATACCCGAAAACGTTCTGCACTTGCACTTTTGCACTTCTTTCCACATATTTTTGTGACCTCTGAACAATAAATGGAATAAGCTTTTTGAGCTGCATTTGGACGAGTGCGGATCTCTTTCATCTTTGTATCTTTTGGATCTACGCACCATATGTTTTTTGTCTACTGGATATTTGGACGAGTGTTTGGCGCTACACTCTAAAAAAATGCTGGGTTAAATATAACCCAGTGCTGTGTTATATTTAACCCAGCATTTTTTAGAGTGTACTACCTTTTATTGTGGGAGGAGTGTATTAAAATTAATCACACAACGCGATTTACTAACGTTTGCGCTCGTCAAAGTACTGGTATTTGCACCATTATTTAACGCCAAAAAAGCATGTCTTAAAGCTATATTAATTTATCACTTTGAGCAGGAGTCCAGGATTCATCGGGAAAACATTTTTAAAATGCACACACTAGGAAGAAGAGCAATAAGACGGCATTATAAAATGAAGATTGGATTGGATTGCTTTCTCACTACAACCGAACCGCTCCAGAGTTCGTTTTCAATCGAGCCGAGACCACCTCGGTTCAGGCGATCTCGGACCGATTGTTTTGGCGCAGATCCGAGTGCCATTGCCGTGTTCACATATGCCCAAACGAACCGAGCTAAGGGGGAAACGCGCCAGGTTCCGAAACAACGGGTCAGGTGTGAAAGCACCCTTAGACCTACATTTTATAGCTATTGAAAAGTTGACAGACTCGTAGAGGAGGGAATTTAGAACGTAGACTTTTGCAAAAGGAATGTAGGTGGATTTTTGATCTTAAAAGTCTACACACTCTTGGTATGAATGAAGATTTGTCTTTGAATTATTTTTTTTAAATAATTTAACGATATATATATGGGAGACTTGAAGAGTACTTGGGTATGATGTTTATTGATTGTATACATAAAAACGGATGTTAAGAATTATTGTTGGAGTCATGAGATTATTATTTGGTGTATATGTATATATTGTTGATATATTTTGTTGATATAGTTGTATATGGATCATTTGGGATGACTTATAAATGTATTTGTTGTATTTTGTTATAGATTTGAGATATATATGTGTATTTGTTTAAAAGATATTTGTGATACTAGGGGTATTACGGTAATACATGTTTTAATGAGCGCAGGTGCTGCTTGGTAGCACATGGCACTGAGGAAGGGTTAATACCCGAAAACGTTCTGCACTTGCACTTTTGCACTTCTTTCCACATATTTTTGTGACCTCTGAACAATAAATGGAATAAGCTTTTTGAGCTGCATTTGGACGAGTGCGGATCTCTTTCATCTTTGTATCTTTTGGATCTACGCACCATATGTTTTTTGTCTACTGGATATTTGGACGAGTGTTTGGCGCTACACTCTAAAAAAATGCTGGGTTAAATATAACCCAGTGCTGTGTTATATTTAACCCAGCATTTTTTAGAGTGTACTACCTTTTATTGTGGGAGGAGTGTATTAAAATTAATCACACAACGCGATTTACTAACGTTTGCGCTCGTCAAAGTACTGGTATTTGCACCATTATTTAACGCCAAAAAAGCATGTCTTAAAGCAGGTGGTAATTTGCGCTGCTCTTGGTAGATTGCGCTGGTCATTATGGAAATGATCAGGCTACATCTGTGTTCTGTGTGAGCATTGTTAGTAAATCACACACGGAATTTCCCCTCCCATCAGCGCTTTCATGGAATTGCGGTCTAATGTTAATTTGCCCTGTTAGTAAATCTGGCCTTATATATGCAACTAAAACCCCCAGGAGGTGGCGGCAAGTCACTGAATGAGTGAATTATTCGTTCAGCTCATTAATTCAAATGGCTGATTCATTCAGAAATGAAGACTGCTTATAAATGGCTCACTGAATCCTTGGCTCACTTGATTTGTTCATAAAGTGTGTTGCTCAGAAAGTCATAACAGTTCTGCTGTGGTTTCCTTTTGCATTTACAAACTATTTTTGTTGCTGAAATTGAGCAAAAACAGACAATACTGACAATATTGTGTCTAAAATGTAACACAAGATTAACTTCTTGTTTATTGAACTGTTGTATAAAATCACTACTACATTGTCAAGCATGCAGATATTCTGGAGAAAAAAAAAACTGCACTCTTGCTCGTGTGATATTGTTAAACTATTTATTATGATATAAATACATGACAAAAACCCATGCGAGGCATGTTTTGCCCTCATATCCTGAATTTTAGGGGTATTTAACTGCATTATAATTGACTCCATCACACAGTAAGACGTCGCCTTGCATAATGTTCATTAGCAACAGCATTAGATGACGTCAAAATTTTAATATGTTATTTTTTTCCATAATTAATCATAAAAAAATTAAAGCGTTGAATCAACAGGCCTAACAAAATGCAAGGCATCCTGTTTAATTTGCAATGTGGAATTAACTATTTTCTTTGAATGTGCAAGACTTTATTAGCCACTCAATTTGTGTACTCAATTTTAAAAAATCCTCGATTGCATTTTGCCTGTGTCGAATAGCCGGCAAAATACCGGAAGTGGTGCATTCCACGGACGAGAATCCATGAAACACATTTTAAACCGTTTTCCATGGCTGCATTATATGTTTGTAACAAAGTTCGTAGTTCGGGAAGAAGGAGGCAGGAACCGGCGAACGTTAAAATACTTTAATCAAATAAACAAACACAAAATGAAAGTAAAGCGGCAGCCCCTCGCTGACGACTGCCGCACACAAAACATAAAATAAAATCCAGGCCTGGTCCTCTCTCGTCCCACTGTCATCACTCCTCCCTTTTATCCTTCTGGAGCTCCTCCGTGAGACTCGAGACCGGTGAGTGGTGCAGGTGTTGCTCATTATCAATTACTCCACCGCCCCCACTCGTCACAACTACATCTTAAAAAAATAAATAAATAATACTTTTCAGTCATTACCTTCAGCAAGTATGAAACAGCAGGAAAACAAAGCCAAAACCTGGACATTTTAGACCATGGGCTATCTGACAGCCGTGTCCCTCCTTCCTCCCGGGTTTCGGCACCAATGTAACAAAGTTCGTAGTTCGGGAAGAAGGAGGCGGGAACCGGTGAACGTTAAAATACTTTAATCAAATAAACAAACACAAAATGAAATTAAAGCGGCAGCCCCTCGCGGACGACTGCCGCACACAAAACACAAAATAAAATCCAGGCCTGGTCCTCTCTCGTCCGACACTGTCGTCACTCCTCCCTTTTATCCTTCCGGAGCTCCTCCGTGAGACTCGAGACCGGTGAGTGGTGCAGGTGTCGCTCATTATCAATTACTCCACCGGCCTCGCTCCGTTCCCACGGCTCTCGGCCCCGCCCCCACTCGTCACAATGTTAAACCCATTTAAAAAATCATAATAAAGCATAATGCTATTGTGAATTCACAAACGATTCAATTAAATAAAATGTATGCAATGCAGGTTTAATACATGTGCTTTAATTATTTACATGTGTGTTGGTTACGTACGTACGTGTCAGAGTTGCTCCGTTCACAGTCAATGCTGCTACACACAAACTGTTATCATTTACATGTGTGGAGGTATTTGTTATAATACGTAATGTACGTTAGATCTGCTGTTTATAATACTTTATGTATTTTAACAGTTTTGTTCAATAAAACCATATGATTACTTGCTTTTGATACTTTATTTGAACTAATTATTATTGCCTAATTGCTATTATATATGTATTTTAAGTACTTTTAAAGGCTATTGTTCACTTAGGTCTATTTTTATTATTACAAAAAAATAATTATAATTATCTGATTACTCGATTAATTCTCAGAATAATCTACCAATTACTCGATTACCAAAATAATCATTAGTGACAGCCCTAATTACAATAATATATTAAAATAAAATATCAAAAGTTCATGATATCAAGCAGCATAACAGACTGTTTTTGTACAGATAACTGGCAGAGGATACACCAGAAGAAAGTATTGAAAAAAAATTGAAGGTATAAAGATGTTTTTTTTTTTTTAAGTTGAACTTCTTTCAACTTGATCGCTGAGTTTTGGGAAATGTTGTGTCATGCATGAGATGATGCAAAAGAAGCGAGACGCGAGTGCGATGGTCAAACATGGTCAAACACAGCAGAATGCAAAAACACGTTCTGTGTGAACGACCTCTAGACAGTAGACAAGATTTAAGATTTCATTTGTCACATACAAAGTTGTATACAGAATACCACCTGCAGTCAAATGTAAATCATGTCCGCTCCATAGACAGTGCATATATTTTATTAAGGAAATGCATGAACATAGAAATAATAATGAAAGACAAAAGCAAAGCTAAAGCAGTGCAAAGAGTGTATACAACAGAACTGAGACACAATAATTATTCAATTGTACAAGGAATGTGCCAAAATTAAGCAAAACTTACTGCAAGGCATTTCACTAAGTTTGTAACTTGGTTAGTCGGAAAACAAAGAAAATGTTAAAATAATAAAACATTGTCCAGTTTCAGATAGATTTACCTTGATGCTGCGAAGAAACTGGTGACCTGGTAACCGAAGCTAGCATAGTATGCATGCTCCATGATCGCCATCAGCTGAATACAGTTATAACCTGGGTGTACGACAGTAAAGAGAGCAGCGCTTATTAACAGATCTTTGCCAAAAATCAGCATTCTGTCATTTACTCGCCCTCATGCCAATCCAAACCCATATGAATTTATTGCTTTAGTGGAACATTAGATATTATGACGAATGTTCATGTAGATATTTTCCATAAAAACTAAAAGTTAGCTAGACACAGTTAATTGTGTTCATCACATAAAGCTGTCATATTGCTTCAAAAAACATGCACTGTAATACAGTATGTACTGTAAAAACATATGGTGAGGTTTATTATTTGTATTTTGTATTATTACTATTATTATTATTTACTGTATAAAAGTAATAATAATAATAATAATAATTATTATTATTATTATTATACAACATTTTTGGATGACCTACACTTTTAAAGAAGCTTCAAATCTAATATTTTAAGATGCCAAATGTATTTGTTAAAAACTGTTTTTTAGCTACAGCAAACTTTTAGCTGTGACTTTTAGCTATACTGTTTTCCTGCAAAACAAACATGTGGCAGCAAAAAAGTACAAATTCTGCTGTTCTGCTGATGTTGTGTCGTCCCCACGGCAGTGTGTACCAAATGCCCACGTAGAGAACCACAGCTTCACATAATTTCAAAACAGCTGTTTTCATTAACGAGAGGATATTATACAAGTCAAGCAAAAATAATAAATTGTCAAGGCCACAGAAAACCTTATCATGAAAACACTACTCAGGTTGATCCCAAGCAACCGCAGTACAATGAATACGGCCGTCAAACCCAACAAAACATCTTCCTTCTTCCCCCCTTCAGCTCTGACCAGTAAGTGTCCACTACAGAAGCTGGTCTTTTATGCGAACACAAAGTGGCCACCCGGACACCCCGTCTGAATGACTCATTGGGTCATACACAAGTCTTATCTGTCCGGATCAGCCACAAAACCAGCGTTTCGGTTCCCCACGCAGGCTGTAGCTGCACTGACATGGCTTTGAATCTGTACGGGAAGAACTCAAGAGGGAGATCCAGGCTTGTCTCACATCATTTTTTTTCCTGAGCAGATTGGTTTATTTATTTATCTAGCCATCTAGCTATCTTCCTCGCCCTGCTTCAGAGAAAGTTTGGGGATTTTTGATGAGGTGTGACAGCGCCAGGGGCTCGTCTCACCGACGATGCATGAGCGAACGCGTACACACACACACACACACACAGAGAGAGAACACTTTTCGACGCTTTTTAGATGCCAGAACCACAATTGTCTAGGGAAATGCAACTGGTTAGCACAAAACAATGAGAACTCAAGGGAGCAACAGATACAATGCAACAACATACTGGTTTAGTGCATGGACATATGCATGAATTATTCTATTATAAAATTTGTTACTGCGAATGGCATCGTAGGACGTTATGTGGGAAGACGGTCATTTTCAATCTAAACATGCAGGCACACATACTTCTGTTTTGCCTACGAGCAATAAAAAAGTATGTTTGCATATTTTTCGAGGAAAACTTGAGTGGTGTCTGGGCCTGTGCAACTTACAGGCACAATGTTGGAGTGGGTCTGAATGTTTTCAAAGATTCCCATGTTTCTAAGATGCTAAAATATCCCACCTCCATGATATTTCTATAGAATTACTGTGCCTACATATAGATGGGGCCCTCAGGGGCCTCTGTGGCCCAATACGAGGTATGTGTATATTGTCCAAAAAGAGCACATTCCATGTTTCCATGATTGTCTACTAGGGCTGGGCGATATAGCTAAAAAATGTATCAACGATATAATGTTTCATATCGTTCGGTATCGATAATTATTTACATTTTTTATAACCTTTTTTAAAACAAAAAGCAATAGAAATTTTTTTTTTTAATTTAACCACTGTATTTTTTAATTAACCCAATTTATTGAGACAAACAACAAATATTTTTTTTTGTTTTAACTGTCAAGCACACAATAAAAATTAAACCAATATCTAATTTCTACTGTTTTATATGCAGATTAAATAGGTCTTAAGGAAACAGGTCTAATTGTCTCCCGAGGCCACAGGAGGGCGCAA